TTCAGACCTCAGGACCACTGTACATTAACTATGAGTAACTGCGTAAAGTAACGACTTTGCTATTTCTTCAGTTCAGAAATCACTATATGAATAAGAGTTGAGCATACTACCAGTGGCCAATCCCTTCACATCCTTCAAAGTCTGTTTGATGATGACTCACTGCACATTTGCCACTCAGTTCACTTAGATAGCAAAGCATGTACTAGCGCTGCCTACCTGTCTAACAATGGTAAGTAAAGCCATGTGATAGTCCACAAAAACAGTCAGAAAAGAAAATTAGCCTACAAAGATGAAAGTGCAGGAAAGAAACAATAACTGGTAATGCTGGAAGTGAAATATAAATCACATGAAAATAGTTAGAGAAGAAATACCCCATCACCTAATGTCTGAGACTCCAGAGGAGCAGCCAGAGGAACTTGGTGAAAGTGAGTTTATGTATGAAAATGAAGGAAGTAACTGAAAAGAAAGGATCACAATGTTCCAGAGGAAGTACAAAACTTCACAATAAACTCTCAGAGAGATTTCCTAACAGTGAAAGCACAAAGGATAAAACACTGGAAGCTGATCCTAACTTAGGAGTATGAGAATTCACCAAAGCATAGAAGACATGCTTGTGCTGCATCACAAGCTGTCTAATCCAAAGAAAAAGGCAGCACTGTTCAAACTGCACTTGAGAAATTTATAATGAAGTAAAGCACTAATTTTTAATGTCTCTAGAGTTTAAACTACGGTATACTAAAGAAATGTAAGTTTACTATTTTATAATTTCCTATACACTGTAACCACATGAAGAGTTTTTTAGTTTTTTTTTAAGACACATTTATTCACCATCATGATCAGACTACATTTAGCAATCAACAGCATGGGTAGAAAGAAAGGAAAAGAGGGCAGCGCAGGGCAGGGAATGGAAGGGAAGGGAAGGAAGGCTACATTAAAAACCCTTTGTTGCAATTCTTTATACTTTCCACAGAACAGAAACTAAACTAACCCATTATACAATTAGTCACAAATACAGTCCTGGCATTTTTTGCCCATTCACATAAATATTGTCTGAAACATGTATTCTCTGCAGCAACTAGGCCCTGCCACCACTGCGCTTGGCTGAGTTCACGAATCTGTTGTGACCTCTACCTACCCTGTCACTTCTCTGGATTTCCTCTCCTGCTAAGCTTTGTTTCTGGCCATAACTGAAACTTTCTGCCACTGCCACAGCTACTGCTGCAACCACAAGAGCCACCTTGATTTCATGGTTTGTCAAAGTATTGGCCTCCACCACCATAGGAGCCAAAGCTTCTGCCTCCAAAGTTTCCTCCTTTCATGGGACCAAAATTTGAAGATTGATTGTTGTAACTGCCAAAATGATTGTAGCTTCTGCCACCTCCAAAATTGCTTCCATCATTTCCAAATACATTATGGCCATCCCCACTGCCACCATATCCACCACCATATCCACCACCACTATGACTACCACCCAAGCCACCTCAACCAGTGATGTTTCCTCCACGACCACCTCCAAAGTTTCCAGAACCACTTTGACTTCTTTGGCTGGATGAAGCACTAGCCATCTCTTGCTTAAATAGGGCTTTCCTTACTTCTCAGTTGTGGCCACTTACACCATGTTATTTCTGAATGACAGTGTTGTCTACAGAGTCATGGTCATCAAAGGTTACAAAAGCAAAGCCTCTCTTTTTGCCACTGCCTCGGTCAGTCATGATTTCAATCACTTCAACTTTCCAACACTGTTCAAAATAATCTCTTAGGTGACATCCTTCAGTGACTTCTTTAATACCACCTAAAAAATCTTTCTCACAGTGAAGTGGGCACCAGTCTTTGAGAATCTTCTATTGAGACAGCCCTCTTTGGTTCCACAACTCTTCCACCCACCTTGTGTGGCCTTGGCTGCATCCCTTGGCTGCATGAATGCTTGGCAGCATTCATGGCTGCATCCACCCTCTCCACAATGGCGTATTTAACAAACCCAAAGCCTCTGGAGTGCTTGGGTGTTTGGATCTTTTATCACCACACAGTCTGTGAGTGGTCTCCATTGCTCACAATGGCTCCTCAGACTCTCACCTGTTCTTTCAAAGCTTAAACCTCCAATAAATAGCTTCCATAGCTCTTCCGGCTCTTTGGGGGACTCTTACTTAGACATGATGACTACAGGAGAGGGGACTTCAACGATGTTACTTGGCGGCATCCATGGGCAGAAAGGAGTAATCTAATGAACACATCTCCACAAGAAGAGTTTCTAACCATCTAGCCAATACTTCCAAATGTCACAGAATGATTATAATTTTCTCACTGAGTAGGACTCATTTGAAGTTTCCATTTGAATGGTCATTTTTACCAGCCCATACAATTGTGCCAAGGGAGTATGCCCTGTAGAGTAAGGATGTATTATTTAATGATATTATCCACTGCAAACATTTATCAAGAGCATCCCAGTTCCTAACTAACCTATAGAAATCCACTAGGCTTGTTATTGAAGACTCAAGACAGAAATACTCTGGCCTGCTGCCCTTCATCTCTTCTGCTATTTACTTCCCAGGCTCTATGTTATGATCCACACGTGCAAATCTCTTCCATGACTACTCCCAAGTTCTGCCCACATCCAAGTGTCTGCATCTCAAAGGTGGGAGAACAAAATCATGTTGTCCAAACTTTGCATAAAAGGGCTGGGAAAAACCAGGCTTATGAGATTGACTGGCATGCCTAGCATGGCACAGTTAATCAATCAGGAGAAACAGGGGCATTAAAACACAGTTCTGCTTCCAGTTTACACAATGATGCCTACTTCTGAAGAGGTTAACTAGGTTCTATTTTCCACCCATATGATTACACAGACCTACTAGCAGAAAACAAATATCCTGTATTTTCTGAGCCTCTCATTACTTAGACATTTTAAGTCCTCTGCATTCAGAGTTCTCTTGTAACATCAGTAGAACTTAATAAAAAATATTCAAATATTTCACAATTCAATGTACCCTGGATGGGATCCCGGGACAGAAAATGGACATTTGGCAAAAACTAAGAAAATGTGAGAATACTATAGACTTCAGTTAATGATGTGTCACTATTGGTTAATTAATTGTGACAAATGTCCCACACTGATGTAAAATAACAGGAGACTGAGTATGAGGTACAAGGGAATTCACAACCTTCCTGTAAATCTAAAGCCATGGTAGGATAAAGATTTCTTCAAAAAGCTATTGTGCATACTCTTTACCTAACATGAATATTTTATTAGCACTGGGATATAATGAAATTTTTGAATCACAGGTACTGTATGTATTGATTTCTATTCCCTAGAGTACTCATTCTTAAGCTATGCCTTGCAGAATCTATTAGGAAGAAAAGTGTGAAAGCCACTCTCTAATCTAAAGGACAGTAAGAGGCATGATTTGAAGAATATTCCAATTCATAGTTCCTCAAAACAAAGAGAGCACTAGACTGAGGGTAAAACAAAACCTGAATTCTAATACTGAATTAGTAACCAACTATGTAAAACACTTCATTTCTCCCATCCAAGTACTAACCAGGCCTGACCCTGCTTAGCTTCCGAGATCAGATGAGATCAGGCGCGTTCAGGGTAGTATGGCCGTAGACTGAAACACTTCATTTCTTTAAGCCTGTTTTCTCATATGCAAATAAGAGCACCCAAGTATGTTTTTGCTTAAAGATTACAGTCCAACTAGAATTTTTTTCTCAACATGTTTCTTCTACTAAAAGTACAATATATGATTTAGATAATGCACATTAGGATACAATGCTTTAATACAAGCCAAAAAGTATTTGTAAGGCTTTTTTTTTTCTGTCTTTTTGGCCTATTATCAAGCAACTACTGTATTTTTATCAACAGTATTTCAACATAAATAAAAATCATATATTACATCTATCTAACTCACCTATTTTTACATTTCAAGCTATACCACATTTATTTAATAAATATACAGGTACTGCATACCTCCTTTGCCACCCAGAAGCAAACAATACAAAACATAGCTAATAAAAAGCATAATTTCAAAATATGGTCCAAAGTTTTTTCTGCACTCATCTCTCTCCCATTTCAATAACACTGTCAATGACAGAAAGCACGGAAAATGGACAAATGTAATAATATTAAATACACCAGGGAAAATTTTTAGCAACAGTTTTAAAACAAATCTCAGTTGTTTAAGAAAACTCAGTAACTGCCAAGAAATACCCTATTTTTCATTACTTTGAGTTTCAAATTTCATAAATCAAAAAACAGAATTAAACTGCAACAATAGGAAGACTAAATAGCAAACACAATAGCAAAGACTGGAAAATACAGACTTCCGATGTAAAAATATGCTAATAATCTAGAAGCAACTTCTATAGAATTTATATTTGACTTCCAAAAATGACTAAGCATGGTAAACAAAAACTATCTGCCATTAATATCATGTAATATTTGGTATTTTAAAAATTATTTTCATACTTTCATGTTTCATGTTAGAAAAATCATGTTTAAATGAACAATGCAGTCCATAAAATGTAAACTATCAATCAAATTAAAATGCACCATTTTATTACTAAATTTTCAAGAACCTGCCCTGGCTGACATAGCTCAGTGGATTGAGCGCGGGCCCGTGAACCAGAGTATCGAGGTTTGATTCCCAGTCACGGCACATGCCTGGGTTGCAGGCCAGTTCCCAGCAGGGGATGAATAAGAGGCAACCATACATTGATATTTCTCTCCCACTCTTTCTCCTTCCCTTCCCCTCTCTCGAAAAATAAATAAATAAAATATTTAAAAAAAAAGAACCTAGTACTAAGTACAATTCTTTTTTTGTGTGTGTGGGGAGGAATAAAGTATATTTCTTTTTTTTATTTTATTTAGTTATTTTTCAAGTACATTTTTTGTCCAAGTACATTTCTTAAAAGGTAATGGCTCCATCACAAGCACACTCAATTTCAAACATCAAGTATGGTAATTGAAGTTGTAACACTAAAAGGGCACTTTTTTGTCCCCCTCAAGGGGGTGCACCTTTTCCAGAAGTACCACATTATCGGGTCCATGTTTGGAGTGGATGGAGCAAGCTCCTATTCCATTTCCCAGCTCCAAAACTCCACTTAATATGATGTCCTCGGAGAGAGGATGTGTCAGATATTAAGCTGATAATAACAGATACTACAGTTGATCTCAGCCAAAAGGACAAGAAGCGATGAAGGGTCACTTTTTCAATAAGCCTTGCTTTATTAGTTGATCTGACCCAAAGTATACTGAAATATTTCCCCAACGCTAATATCATTGAAATGCTTACCACCTTTGACACCTGAAAATAATAAAGATGAGATTAAAGACAACTACTCATTCAAATGTATGTAGACTATATCCTTAGGTATTACCTTAAAAGTACCAATCACAATACACTGAAGGCTTCCATTTCAGGACATAATTTGAAAAGTATTTTTATTATGCAATGAAAGCATGAAATATTAAACCACACTGTTCTATAATCTGGTTCCCAAAGGTCATCCGTATTAATGTTTTAAGTAGTAAATCCTACCATTCTTAACATTTTTTAAATGGTCACATTTCTAAAACCTCGTCATTAAGACTTACTTTCAAAGCCTGCGCTCATAGGAAACTAAACACTGTATACAGCATTTGAGCAGCTTTTCTAGGCAACCAGTTTCTCTGTTCATCTCCACTGTCTTCTGAGCTTTTACGGTGTTTGCAATGCAGTTTTTCACTTAGTGAAAAAAGATAATACGCACCGCATCGGGTAAGAATGGTCAGCTTTCCGTTATTACAAAGAGCAAGAGTCCTCTTCTCCTTGGTCCTCTCCTCCTCTACCCACGTCAAGGAAAGTCCAGGGGAAGCAGGCCTCCTTCCACTCCTCCCACAAGGATGCTGGGTAATGGAACACCCCGTGGACTGTGGGAGGTTCAGATCCTCCACCCTGGGCCTTTTCACTTCCCTCCAACACCAGCAACACCACCCTCCTCTTAAGGCCTCTGCGTGCGCGCCTGCGCCTGCGTCTGGGTCGGCCGGGCCCAGGACCCACAGCGTGCGCGACTCTGGCGTGAGCTCGAACTTTTGCCGCCTAAGGCGGTCCTGGGACAGCTGCACCGCACACTATCTGGTCCCAGGCTTCTCTCCGCCAGGAGCCCGGCATCGGGGAAGTCGCACTCTGCCTTCACCCAGCTGCCAGCAGCAGAGGGAGGAGCAGAGCCCGTTGGAAGTGGGAAATTAAGCAGCCCGCCCGGAACGCACCTGTGGACGCCGCCCTCTTCTGCTCTGGAGACAGCCATCTTCATGGCCCCCAGGCTGCGCACCGTTTCTGGAACTGGCACAGCTGCCTGCCGCGCAGCCTCTTTTCTGTCCTAACCGCAGCGGGGCTTCAGCCAGGTGGAGAAGAGGATACGGAGCTCTGCTGCCCTGTTGGCAGCTTTCCGATTCTGAGATGAACTCACAACAGAACGTTAAACAATGAGTTTTTAGGGAGACCGAGTTTACATCAATCATAATGTACAGCAGAGAGAAACAAAATACCTTTAAAAACCATGTGCAATGAGACCGCTTATTAACTAGGACTTGTAGAAAACTGTAGGGAAAAGAATTGGTAGTCCCTGGGGGGAGGCCCACAGAATGAGTCTGTTCCACGGCATTGGGATATAATCTCAAAGTCATGGGCATAGAGATCTGTCTTGGCTATCTTTCACCTCACCATAGGATTGTGTGGTCTCTTTGGCCTCATGCATCTTCCACTTGTCCAGGGAGGTACAGTAATTGAACTCATTTAACAACTCCCTGAGGACATGCTCCTTGAAAAGATGCTGCATCCTGGCTTCTGGTACCACTTGATGCTGGGACTAGCCAGGGTGAGCCCTGTAGCTGAAAAAAGTGCTAGTCTTTGAGCACATGGTTCCTGTGTCTGTGCAGTATGTCAGAGTTCTGCAGGTGGATCTGGAGCATCTGAAAGAAGCAGATTTAAATACATATCTGATTTCCACTTTCCTTTACAGAGACAGGAATGTTGCCTGTGCCTTTGAGGGAACTCCTGCCCATGAACAACCACTTTCCAGATCATTTTCCTAGGCTGCAGTTCCCACACATTTTGGTGTTGCATCCTATGGGTCTGGATACTCCAGATCCACAGAAAGAAGGTGGGCCTGGCACAGATGCTCTGAAGTAGGGACACTGACCTGCACCAAGGCCTACTTCAGTCAGAGCAAGGACAAATGTAGGGGCTTGACAAACCATTGCACCTGGTCTGTATAGGTTCCCACTGTGGAAGCCATGGCCCTGGGGAGAAGCAGTTGGGCATCAGAGTCAAAGTCTGGAATGCTAATTCAACGCACCATCCCAGGTAAATCTTGTTTTGGAGAGGGCCTCTGTGCATGCCCATGACCAACCAGGAGACAGTGAAATGCTGATTTTGACACCTGTGTGGCTGTCCTTGGAAGAGATAGTCTGGCAATGCAGCAGGTTTGTCATGGAGACCCTGTGAGTCTTTTCTTTCCATTGACATTTCTTTTCAAGGTCTATTCACTGCCTACCGCATCCATTCATCACCGGCTCATCTACACTGAAATTATATGTAGGTTGATGAGCAGGCTCTAGCCACATCTCCTGTTGCGAGCTGGGTGAGAAGAGTTGACTATGGGGAAGGGCAGGCTGAGTGGGAGTGGAGTGTGGAGCGTTTGGGACCATAGGGCAAAACACAGCCCAGCCTTCTTCTGATTGTATGAGGGCAGAGACCCCATCCATCATTCTCTTAATTCTGTCCTCTTTGGAGAGGATCCACCTGAGCTCAGGCCTCCCTTGGGAATCAGATCTATAAGATCTCCTTGCTGACAGAACTTCCTTGCCATTACCAGTGTCCTCTCAACACAGGAGGTCTTTCTTCAGGACCCAATCACCACCCAACTTTTTATCTCATACCTTAATGACTGTCCATTGTCGTAATTAGCAAGTTGGGCTTCAGGTGCCCTGAAGATCTTAATTGTATCACAACTAATGGATAAAGGACAAGACCTGAAAAAAGATATCTGTTGTGAATGACTTATTCATTGAGTAGAACTGAAGCCCTGGGATATTGTCTGCTTCATTCACTGAGTTATGCTAACTGCCCCTAGTAGGACCTACCTGTACTTGGTACTTCATACAAATTGTCAGTGAAATAAAGTCCAAGCAGAACTATCCCAGCTATCTGAGTGAGCCTGGGAACCCCCTCTACGTCCAGAGATTTCTAATGGCAAAATACCAAAAACAAGTACAAAAATCAGTGAAGAGATTCCTCCAGTATCTTGACAGATTGCTTTCCACTTGCTTTTCACAACAAAAATGCCACAGGTCGTGATGGGTGAGGCAGGAGAGTTTCCGTGGCGGACAGAACAAAAAATAATTGACACAAACTGCCACAGAACATCCAGAAGGCCTGTCTGCAGAGCCAGATACCAATCAAAACCTGCCTGGATTGTCCCCACAGTAGTCCCTGCGAGAGCATTATGTGGTTTGTCTTCTGTCACACCGCATCACAAAGGAACTATTTGAGGCCCTGTGAGGTGTGGTGACATGATTATGGCACACTGGTTTCAGTGGATAAAATCAGAGCTGTGCTGAAAAGGGGGCACTTGCTCATTGGATTAGCAGACCTTCCCAGAGCACTGGAGCTCGGGAGAAGGATGGGAGCATGGTCACGAAGGCGAGTAGGTGGAGAAATGTTTCCACTCTAAATAGCTGGAGTCAGGAATTCTGCCAAATTCTTCAGTGTACCCAGGGAGGCATTCTGAAGCTGCATTCTGCAGGCTTCTAGCAATTTCAAGAGGAATTTAGCTGCAACCTGTGTGGGACTAGGATTGTCATCTGGTCAGTGACATCACCATGAATACACAGGAGGGCTGAGGTCTGGAGCTCATCCCAAACTGTCAGGCCACCTGGGATGTGTGCAAGAGAAAGGTGAGGAGTATCCATGCGAAATAGGATTTTATCATTAGGTTTTAAAAGTACTATTGATTTTTGGTGGAATGTGGGTATTGATTTCATTTTTCCTGTATAGGCATATTTTTTAAGATGAGGAGTGTTAGAGTTTCTGTAGTCATAGACTTATGAAGAGCGTTCTACCCATGAAACATCAAACAACACTCTCATTATAAAGAAGAAATCAAACAGGCTTGAGCATGGGGAATGGCTGGGGAAGGTCATGTGGTTCAGAATGGAGAAATGTCCAAATCTAGCAATGCATAGCATTTCTCTTAGCTACCTGATACTTATCTGTTCCTGACATAGATGGTTGGAAAGCCACCTATGGGTAGAAAACACTGTCCCTGACTGGGAATTGTGTATAAGATGAATATACATAGGCTATGAAATCCAGTGACTTCCAAAATGACACTTATTTTTCTTTCTTGCACAATAAAAGTCACTCTGAGATGCAGAAACAGCACAGGGGCAAATTCCTGGTGATACTATAATGGAGAAAGCTGGTCACCAGGCAGCAGTTGAAGCAGATGACTCAGCTAGGTCCCATTTCTGAGGATGGAGACAAGCTGACAGGTGAGACAAATTACGCTGGAGAAAAATGAAAACCAGGGAATACTGGGATTGCCTTGGACACTTTATAATCAGATTGGTAATTTTTTCTATTGTTTCATTCTTATTCAGTTACAGTTGTCTGTATTTTCCCCACATTCCTCCAAATATAAATGAATAAGAAACACTTGGTGGGTAAAAGGTAGCAGTCATTATCACAAAAGTTCTTCTGCCACTGTAATGGCAGCTTTCATTTTAGAATCTGAGTTTTGGTGCTGAATTTTGCATGTGCATATCTTTCCAGATAAAGATAGTACAGGCACACATTGTGGTCTTAGGACAGTCACCAAAATTCCAAGTCTTTGGAACCCCTAGATCTTCAAAATATGCCTACATTTGTATCTCGTAAAGGAGGTTATTAAGTCCAAGTGAATTCAGTGAAGTGAGTCTTAACCCAATGTGACAAGTGACTGTAGAGAGGAGGGGAGGAGACAAGGAGGCACAGAAGGGATGTGTGTAACCCAGAGTTAGGGACAACCATGAATGAGCATGGGAGAAACCTCCCAAAAGGAGCTAGCCATGCCCACAACCACACTTCCAACTCTTATTCTCTGGAATTGTGAAAAATTCAGTATGCATTCTTTACATAACCCAGGGGGTCCTATGCTATGACATCCTCAGCAATATGCGCAGTTCCATGGGACACACATAAGTGCTCTGGCAGGACTGCTGACAGGCCACCTGAGATGAATGACACAATGTCTGCCAGCACTGAGAGGCTGCATAGCTGTGGCAAGCAACCACCTTTGTTGGAGACAGACTGCAATGACTGTTGAATTCTCTACTCTGCAGGACAAGTGGGTCAGATAGTTTTTAAAAATCCAAAAAGAATAAGAAAAGTACAAATATGATTGTTATCTCATGACAAACAATATGTTTCTGAATATTCCTATTACAACAAGTATTTTCTTTCTACTCTCAATTTTAGCTAGAGCGGGAAAATAGGATCCAGATTCCTGAGGACATGGCACTGTGGGTCAGTGTACAAAATGCCATTGGGTTCCCTGGGGGGGGTCCCCAAATTGACTTTGCTCCTGGGCACCTGAATGTAATCTTGGGGTCATAGATGGGAGACCCACCTGAGCTAGCTCTCACATAGGTGCATGTTCTTGTGTTAGGGAATGAATACCTCCCCCTTGTCTAGCATGGTAGAGTAGTTAAACCAGTTCATTAGTTCTTCCAGGATGACTTCACTGAATCTCTAGAAAGACAAACACAGTACCCAGACAGTAAGCATCAGAAACCCTCCAACTAACCTGCAGTTCTGACTTATGTCAGCTCTGGCACACAGATACGGTCTGTTGTGACACAGTGAGGATGTTTCTGGCAGCTTTGCTGAAGTAGATTCAGAACTGAGGATTGTCACAGCCCAAAATCAGTGAATGAATGAACACTGTGGTAACTACCTCCTTTATGAGATAGTACAGATATGAATGAGGTCACATTTCCTAAATAGGCAAAATTACAATGGTTTGCTGTGCTCTGTGAACTGAAAAGGTATAGAGAAATAATCCTATATATGACTTTTACTTAATTTTGTGTACAACCCTTCCTAATTCAATGTAATAGTGTATAAGATTTTAAGGTCTGAAAGGACAGTGGAGCTGATTACTACAGCAGAATAGTGGGGTGATAGGAAAACAAATAGAGCAAAATGCTAATGTTCGTGAGCTCTACTGTGAGGGGTAACATATTTTTCTTTAATATTCCCACAAACATGTGAGGAATGTCTTTCTCCTGTCCTATATAGCTGGTGGGAGAAATGGAGGTCCAGATTCCTGTGAGCATGGGATAGTGGGACACGTTAGAGCACTAGGAGGGCCATCAGGGAGCCATCCCCATATTTGAGCCTAGATGGTTGGCCCTTTCATGTCACTTCAGGTTCCTGGGTGTGGAGAACCGCTGGGCCAGCTCTCACCTAAGACATTCTTTAGATTGTGGTGTCTGTCTGGTGCATCTTGACTCTGTACATGTTATAGCTGGACTCATGCAGCACCTTCAAAAGAACATCATTGGTTCTCTGCAAAGACAGAGCCGGTTACTGAGCTAAGAGAACTCAGTAACGTTCCACAAAAAAATGATCTGTGTAATGGAGACCTAGAATATCAATTGCCATTCCAAATGCACCTATTACCCTCCCTGGCCTTGTGTTACCCTAACACCTAATGAGCATGTCTTTTGTGTCTTCATGAAAAATGTAGATACAAGGCTAATTAGGATAGTGCCAAGGGGTGATGGGCATTTAGTGTAACGATGACAAGAACAATGGTTTAGGATGCCTTTACATTGCTCTGTCTCAACTTCCCAAGCACAAACTCAGACCAGCACTTTGCAAAGGGTGAAGGAAATGGAAAAGAAAACACTGGAGGAAATGGAAATGAAAACATGGGAAAAGAAACTCTTTGGAAAGCTCCACAGTGTGGCGCACAGGAATTATTCCACATTGCTGAAAAAATGCTAGAGGCATTTCCTGAAAATCATGACTATCTTCATCTGCACAATGAATGCCATTTTTTTCATTTGTCTCAAATTAAATTCAGACTGGTATTTTCTTTCTATTCACCATTATGAATCAAAAATCCAAAACGCTGCATCTATCTGATAATGGCACAAAACAAAATTTTAATAGTATAAAGATAACACTTTTTGAATACTTTCTTCAATCAATAACTAAAAATTCTCTTTTCTTTTGCTCACAATTGGGGATTATTTATAGGGAAATGTGGATTTAATGGTGGGCATTAGTAAAAAGTGAGGGAATGCTACATTAGACTGGCCAGTGGCTCCCTGATAATCTTAAAGGTGTGATGTTAGCATGACGCCCAGCCACTCTGGCCTGCTTTGTCCTCAGATGGGTCCTACCTTTTCCAAATATCAGGTGATGCTACCTTCTCAGCTGCTCAGATTTGTATTTCCTACAAGGATGCAAGACAAGTAGGACCAAGAGGACCTTTCAAAAAATGAGCAGGCACAAGTCTTTTTTTTTTTAATTTTATTTAGTTATTTTTCAAGTACAGTTTTTTGTCTATTTTTCCCATCCCAGCCTCCCCCGCCCCTTGCTCCCCACCTCCCTCCCATTTCCACCCCCCCCAGTTCTCGTCCCTGTGTCCTTCCTATTTGTTCCTCCAAAACTGATAAGAACAGATACTACACTTGATCTTAGCCAAAAGGCCGAGAAGCGATAGGCACAAGTCTTCAATGTGTGTTTAAATAATCTTGAGCTGATAAAATCATCTGATCCCAGAAATGCAAAGATGGTACCATATTTTCAAATCCAGAAACATAATATATCAATAAATAAAGAAAAGACAAAAACCACATGATTTGTCAATAGATGGAGAAAAAGCACTTTGTACAGGACAGCACATGTTTGTGATAAAAAAAACTCTCAGTGGGAGTAGAGGAACCATA